TTGTCACCTATTATAACTGGTGGGCTCATTAAAGGAAGTTGGCCTTCATAAAGAGTTGCATGACGAACATGACTTGGATCATCTAGAGCAAGAATACCAATGATATCACCAGCTTCAAGTGTTGAATTTGCTTGTTTTATAAATTGCACGACACCGTCTTCAGTAACAACCAAAGGCATATACATTTTCATCACCTATACATCATAATAATATATTATATTTTATCAGTAATTATCAAACTACAAATAAAAGGTTTTTTGACTAAAAATTATACCTCAATCTCAGCATAAGCATCACCACTATGAACGTGAGCGCCAGATTCAACCAAAAACCTTACAAGTTTTCCAGGAGATGGAGAACGAAGTTGAGTTGGATCATTTTCTTGTTCTAACAAACAAGTTTTACCATCAATCATCAAACGAGTCGCTTGGACCTCTTCACGGAAATAACACGTATGACTTTTGCCATCCAATAACACTAAAAGACCACCATCTGAAAGAGCTCGAACTGAAACTTGAGTCTTAGAACCATTTAAATATAGAATGAAGGAATAAGGAGCGGACTGCATGGAAGTAAATTTATATTGAACACCCTCATAAATAAAATCAATAGTAAAAACAGTTTGTAAAACATCCTTGCTAGGAATTTGGCCTTTTTCTAAGAAACGTTTATATTCTGCTAAAGATTCTTGTGACTTAGTGTAAGCTTTCGCAACCGCACCACACATAATAGCGAGCATCTTGTCTGGTCTTTCTACCGTTAAGTGTTCAGCAGATATCAAAGTGTCCAACCAACCTGTTGTAAACTTATTTTCCTCAAACGTATTTGTCTCTAACAATTTTATCAAATATTCAACAGTAGTTCTAAAATCACCACGAATCGATAGTTCTTTAAGAGCGATTATCATGTTTTTGCGTGATTGTTGTCGATTTTCGCCATAGGCAAAAATATGACCAAATTGAGAATCTGCAAATTCATGAAGACCTCCAGCGGAATTTACCGAAAAGTAACCCCAAACATTAGTACTACTTCTGAAATTTAATTCATGTACCATTCCACTACTAGGTTTGAAACCAGCATCAGGATTTTCAGCGGTAATTCTGACAGCAATTACGTGTCCTTTAGGAGCAGGTTTTCTTTGTGTTTGCAAAGATTCCGGTTTTGAAAAATCAAAATCAATTTCTGATGTACCATTATGGTCCAAACCATAAAGCACACGTATGTCACGAATTTGATGAAGAGGTATTCCCATTGCTATTTGTAATTGAGCAGCAGGTAAATTTACACCAGAAACCATCTCGGTAGTTGGGTGTTCGACTTGTAACCTCGGATTTAATTCAAGAAAACAAAAGGCATCATCATCACAATAAAGATATTCTACTGTACCAGCACTAACATAACCAACTAATTTAGTCAATCGAACAGCAGCTTGTTCCATGGCCTTAAAAGTATCATGTTTTGCTATAGTTACTGGAGCCTCTTCAATAATTTTTTGATGACGCCGTTGTACAGAACAGTCACGGCCAAATAGCGAAATTGCATTACCATATTGATCAGCAAGAACCTGAACTTCTAAATGGCGAGCATTACCAGCAAGTTTCATGATGAAAATTGGAGAACCAGGAACTTCACCTCGAACTTGAGCAAAAGCCTGTTTGAAGTTCTCAGAATTCTCAACTTTACGTATACCTTTTCCACCACCACCCTCTGAAGCTTTGATCATAACTGGAAACCCTATTTTATTAGCTCTGATTAAACCATCCTCAGCATCCTTTACACATGCTTTCTCAAAAACATCATTTGGAACCATAACATGACCATCATCATCAAATTCAGTCTCATTAATACCACTACCACTCCACTCCATCGTAGGCACATTAGCCGATTGAGCCACGATGGTTGAAGATATTTTATCACCAAGAGAACGCATAGCAGAACCAGGAGGGCCTATAAATACGATTTTATTTTTACATTGTGCAAGTGCTTCAGGTAAGCGAGGATTCTCTGATGCATGTCCCCTAAAATAAGGTAAAACAATTTAAATTGATAAAAAATTGATAAAATTGATAAAATGTTAGATTTAAACAAAATTTCCAATGTTATAATATGTTATAATATGTTATAATTCTCACCATCCTGCCCATACAGCATGAACATCTGTTCGCTCAGCTATATCGACTATTAGAGGTACGTTGGCATAATTATTGTTATTAGAACCACCAGGAACTTCAATGTATTGATCGGCCATTCGAATATATTCAGCGTTTATTTTCAAATCTTCAGGTGTGGCCATAACAGTGAATTCGATAGAACGTTCATCTCCAAATATCTCATAAGCCCATTTTCTGATGGAACGAATTTCTTTTACAGCAGCGATGCCATTATTTGCTATTAGAATTTTTGTGATAACTGTATGTCCATTATGTTTTTCGACGAATTCTCGCACATTTCCTCTGGGTGCTACTTTCAAATTGTTCCACCCTAATCAATCAGAATAACGATATGAAAACGCAGAAAAAATAACCCGATTAATCAATGGTTAAAATTGGAACAAAAAAAAAAAAAAAAAAATTAATGATATACATTACATACCAATAAATTTTTTGTCAACTCCTTTTTGGTTCATTATTTTTTACTTTCTTTTTTTCTTTCCCTTTTTTTTTTATTTTTTTTTAAATTTAAAGAAGCAGTTATAGAATTTTAAAAAATTCTGACGATTATAAAAAGAAAGTAAGAAATTAGCAGATTAAATTGAAAAAAAAGATCGATTTTTTACCATATTTGATACCGGATATTTATGGCTGCCAAAATTTGGGGAGAGTGGCAGATAATATTTTCACTGCTCATCTATAAATAATTCATATGAGAGCTTATGATACACAGTAACGATAAATAAAAAAAGATCAAGGCGATAATGACAATGTAAACGCTAACTGTAAAAGTATATTAATTATCAGCTACTTCCATAAGAGGGATATAATCATAAGAATACGCATTCATGCAAGAATAAGAATTGTTTCATGTGACATTGTTCTACCTCTATTTATACCGGTTAATCGCACATGGAATAGTTATTTTCTCTATTTGGTACCGATATATTACCGAATAAACAACATTGGTCTTATCTGTTATGTACGTACATATTAACGGATCGTAATACGCACGTCACATTAATGTAATTAATTATGTGAGATCTGTTAATCGAAACGGTCCCTTCAGATTTTTTGTAAAAAAAAAAAAAACTTTATTATATTTATAAACCTATAATTAGTAAAACTTATTTTGTTTAATGCATACAGTCGTGGGAGCAATGATAAGTAATCGTAATCCCGGTTTTTTGCTTGAAAAATTTTTTAAGGATTCCTAAGCCTGCCACGTTAACGGCCACGTTAACGGTAAAAATTTAAGCACACCAAATAAAATAAGTTTATAGAAAAGTTAAAAGATATCTATTTTTGTTATATTGATTTTTTTTGACCAAAAAAGTCTTTGTTACAAGAGACTTTTATAGTCTTAAATATGGATTAAAAAAAGGCATTAAATTCGGCAGAAAATAAATAAACTAGTTAAAAATGTCGATATAATTTGGACCGTTTAAAATTTCAATCGACTTGTCAAATTTAGATTTACAATAAAATAGTTTAAAAAATTTAGTATAGCGTATTTTTTATCAATATATCTATATATATACAATAATAAATTTACGCCATGTATAAAAGTTTCCAAATTTCGTCGTATTTAATAATAAGTACCCAAGTATAATTTATTAATCGTCGAGTCTACAAACAATGCAGAAAAGAAAATTTTTGTGAAATTTCATTATAAACTAAGTCTCATTGTGGTCACAATCCTAACTCCATTTGAATGACCAATTGTGGAAGATTGATTGTTCAAATTATGAGTTACAGACGATTTTTTTAAACACATGATTTTCACGCGGTGTGGCTCACTTCACCAACATTTCGTAGACGTAACATTTCACCGAACTCAATTCATCAACATTTTTGTTTCGCCGACACTTATTTCACCGAAGCTCATTTCACCGACAAGTTGTCGGTGAAATAAACTGTCGGTGAAATGAAATAAGTGTCGGCGAAACAAAAATGTCGGTAAATTGAGTTCGGTCGGTGAAGTGAGGCGTAACAATTTTCACCTGAAATGTACCCTAATTGCAGAATTGGTAAATCTCTGGTAGTGTTATTGTTATGGCCAGACCGAACCGTTATTCTAATTAATTTGGGCTAAACCAAGTCAATACTCAGTGATTATTAAGAATTAATGATAATATTCATAAAATTAAATTTAATCCAATCATTTATGTGATATTGCGTAAAATAGAATTGATATTGCATGATTTCCGGTAAAATTGAATTGTATAATTGTATTTGATTGGTCAATTGCTAGCCTTAGCTATGAATCGCTTATTATTATGAAACAGTTTATGAAACCGCATAATAATTATAAATCATCATTGTATTTAATTGGTCAATTGTTTTTCTTAGCTGTAAATTGCTTATGAAACTGATCATGAATCCGCGTAATATTATAAATCCCATCAAAAATTTTCACCCATACGATTATCGCAAAAACAGGCACCTCATTTCACGGGCAATTGCAGACAATTCAGTTTATATGTTAAGTGGTGCGTCTGGTCCGGTCCGGTCCAGGACTAGTTAAAAACTAGTTCACCCCTGTCAAAAACAAGTCCCACAGTAGTCGTACCCTAGTGGTTTAATATAAATTTTATACGTAATAATTTTTATTACAAACTTTACCATTATTGATCGACAAAGTCGGCACTTAACTAATTTTAACTAATTCACCGATTAGAGTATCTGTCATTTATTTCCTAATTAGCGAATTTTATTTAAAGTACTCAGGGTATATTGATTCACATTTTATCGGACTTTATTTAATGTGTCAAGAAACTCTATTCATATCATGTGAGAGCTAGACTAGTTTTGGGCAAGTACTGAATTAGTCCCTAAAAAGTCGGTCTGGACCCGGTCCGAACCAGTTCCCCCGTGGACCACTTAACATCCCTAGAGTTGGTCACCGAACTTTTTTTTGCCAAATCTGAAAATTTCGGGTTTCGGGTTATAGTTTCCGAAACCTCATCCGAAACTCGAAACCCTATCCGAAATCCGAAACCTTCCGAAACTTGAAATCTCTTCTAAAACATCTTCCGAAACCCGAAATTCCAAAAATTAATGATTTAAAAAATTTAGAAAGCTTATCAATTCGATAAATTGTCAAACGCTTAAGATTGAAAATCGATTTTTTGGATCTAGAAAAAAATACCAATCCATGATTGGTTATCAAATAATTATTAGCCAACCTTGGATTGGTATTAATCACATATCTAACTTTTTTAATATTAGCACCCATTCGTGTGATATGTTTATTATAAAAGTCTATTTTATATCCAGAGACTTTTTTATATTTCTTGTCAAGATTTATTTGTTGACAAGAACAGCCTTTCCCATAAACTTGCACAAACTAAACACATCAAACATGCTGAACAAGTATTCAAACGAAAGTTTAATAATGTTGAACGTGTCAACATTAAAATGATAAAATTATCTGTAAAACATGCAGGGACACGGATATTTTGTGTCCCTGAAAACAAGTATAATATATCTTTTATATTCCGATCATGCCCAAAATCAATAACTTAAACCGGATCTGCCAAAATTCATTCGGCTAATTTTTTAATACGTATGTGTTAGGGAAATAAGTAAAAGTGTCGGAGAAGTAAAACAGTTCAATAGATTATAATGTTTAAAGGCTTCGGATTATTTTGATAGTTTTGGTTTCGGTTTTTTTTTTTTAAAAAAAAATCTACAACTAGTTTCAGATTAGAGCTTTTTGAAACTGGTTTCGTTTCGAGTACCAACTCTAGTGTGATTTAACAATGCCGTATAGGAAAATGATAAAGAAAATAATACCTTTTATGTTTATCCAATCAAATAAGGAAAGAAACCAATAAGTAATAATGTAGGCATATTTTCTATTAATTATATCATCTAGTAACAATTTGTGAGCTAGACACGAGAATAAAAAGTGATTCGCTCGGTTTTCATGAAAAGTGATTTTTTAGATAAGGTCTGCGATTCTGAAAGAGGGATTTGCTACGTTCTTTCTTTACAGTACCCGACAAAAGTTTTCCCGCACCCGTAGATCTCTTAAATAATGCGTAGCATTTTCAAACTTTCTATGAACAAAGAATGCCTTGAATGTAGGTCCCTACATCTTCTACAGGTTGATAGGTTCTTTTAATAGATACCTACCATATAAACGTTATAAGAGCCCAAATATATATTACTAGATAAATTTTTTTAACAATGTAATCAATTTTGATGATTAAGTTCTCTTTTGAATTCTACAGTTTTATAGAATTTAAAAAAAATTTTAAATATTGAAATTGATTATTTTATTTATTTTTTTTTTTTTTGGCATGTCCTGCCACTGTTTTTATTAAGATGTAACCAAGCAAAAATTACAAAAATTCTTAACTATAGTTATTATCTTCTTAACTGCAACAAGTGACTCACTCAACTTAAAAAAAAAAGCCCAGGTGTGACATTGCCTAGTGGCCGTTTGCCTTCCTCCGGGCCTCTAACTTTCTAGAAGCATAAATCTTTCGATCATTGGCCGGTACCACATGCCATATCAGTTTTATCTTTTCTTTTATAGAAGTGAAGTACAAACACAAATTCAAAGGGCAAAAAGAAAAAAAGGGGTGATACTTCGGTGTCCAATTTTGATTCACCTAAACAAATAAAACCAAAATAATATATAAAAGAAAAACAAAACAAAAAAAAGAAAACAAAACAAAGATAGCACTATTAAACCCATGCTGGATTGTAAAAATTATATAGTACTACTAAATAAACTAGTCTAAACTCTAATGCTAGTTATTTATGTCTATATTAGGATATATAAAATATCCATACTTGAGTAGAGGTCTAAGTTCGAAATTTCTCTTATGGTCTCACCATATCTTTGGCGTGGTATCCTGCAATGTATTGTCATGCGAATGCTTGTTCCTGTACAAAGTTGAATGACTGCTAGTTTTGCACAGCCTTGGTGTAAATACCGCAACCTCTTGAGGTAACTGATCTATGCGATTTTCATTCTAAAGTAGACACATACTCCTGTACGTGATTTTCCTTTTTTAGCAGTGATTGTTGTGTTGATTTTTTGATAGAGGTATGCTGTATTTTCTATTTTTT